TGGTAATAAAACGCCACTGGATGTTTTTTAACCAATTTATACTTAAATTTGCATGTTTGAATTGTTTTTCAAAATAACTTTTGTTTAATGTTGAAATTTCATTGTAATTTTACAGAAATTTGTTACAGTGCAGCTTGGAGGAATGGAGTCCTCCAATCAGCATTTGCACGGTGCCAGTAGCTTGGCCTTCAGAAATCAGTGGAAAAGTACTGCCTTGTGCATATGTTAGAATGATGAGATAGAACTTTAACCACAGTTGCTTCAAAGTGTCATGAAATCTCTAAAGCTTCATAAAAAACAGACAGTGAGCCCATAATTTAACACGTCTTTTCAATATTATCTTTACAAGCAATGCACAAGCTCAACCTGAATTTCTCATCTCTCTAGACGTGGAGAAGGCCTTCGACAGGGTGGAGTGGTCCAACCTCTTCTGTGCCCTGTCAAAGTTTGGATTTGGAATTGAGTTGGTTGCTTCGCTGAAACCACTGTATGCCTCCCCGGTTGCTTCCTTACAAACCAATAACATCAGATCATAGTACCTCCCTCTTACTCGGTCAACTCGACAGGGCTGTCCGTTGTCGCCCCTGTTGTTTGCGATTGCAATCGAACCTCTTGCCATTTCACTTATACGATGCAGAACTATTCTGGCATCACAAGAGCAAACTATGAGCATAAGGTATCGCTCTATGCTGATGACCTCCTCCTGTACATCTCAAACACCTTTCATATCTACTCCTGCACTAATGAAAAAGCTGGAACAATTCAGCTCAATTTCTGGCTACAAATTAAACATTGGCAAGAGTACTATTTTCCCAATAAACTGGACACAGGATGACATGCATGTTTATCACTTACCCTTTAAGATTACAGACTAATTTAAATACCTGGGAATTACAATTACCTCATCTTTGAATGGGTTACTTCTTCAATATTTGCGTTCTTACTTCCAGGAAGACTGATTTTATTAAATTGGAAGCAGGCCCTCTCTAGTGCTTTGGTAAGAGATGTAATGATGCACTTTATTCCTTACAAGGTGCACGTGAGGATACATTCACCAGGACATGGGCATCCTTTAGCCTGTTTTTATTGTTTTTTCTCTGTAAAATGTAACAAAAAGATGTCATTTATAGAGATATTTTTCAGTTAAATTCAATGTATTGTGTCTTGTCCTAAATCACAGCAGCAGTCGTCTCAGGACTTTACACAGTTGTGGATTCGCTGGTTTAGTTGTTTCCCTCACCACAGCTGGGAATGTCGAGGATATTGCTGCTATTGAGAAGAGAGGATCCCTGTCTCCACTGGGGTCTGAGTGGGTCCTGATGCAGGAGAGTCCAGGACAGTGATGATACGGGACATTTGAGGACATTTATTCACATTTCTGAACACTGGTCATCTTGCTCCTTATGGACAATTCAGATTCAGATTTGATTTATTCAGACATTTTAACATTGTCTATTTCCATGTAATGAACATGGAAATAGACAATGTATACACATTATGTCTGAAATGGAATAGGCAGAAGTTCATTGCGCCTAGTTTCATAACAAAAAAAACAGAAAAGCTGCCAATGTACAGCTATACAATTTAGTTTTCCAACAGCAAAACAAGAAGCTGAGTTCCATCACAACAAAAAGATAAGTTTTGAAGAAAATGGCAATCGTCTTTACTTCAGACAGAAGACATGTTTTATTGTTGATGGTAAAAGGCACAAACAAAGATGTTACAGACTGGAGGTGATATTATACATCATGGAGAAATGGAGACCTCTCATCAGCTTTTACTACAGTGCTGCCAGCTCTGGCCTTGAGATAACCAAAACATATATGAATATATATGAAAAATACTGCCTTTGTGGGTATTGTTAGAATTATGAGTTTAACTTTAACCACAGTTTCTTCAAAGTGTCATAACAAATAGAAAACTAAGTTTGCATCCTCAGCATTCATTCTCAACATATTTTCTCATAATTGTTTTCTTCAAAATAATTTTAAATTGACTTAAACTGTTACAGTCTGTTAGCTCTATGTGTTTGTTATTACAGCATTTTCTGTGTTCAACCTGTTTGATTCTCTGATCTGAGGAATCCACTTTGAGCCCTGAGTCTGTCTTTGGCCCTGACCATAGAGACGAGCTCCTCTGTGTCATCTGTGTGGTCAGAGCTCATCTGCATCAGAACAAAAGAATCCATGTTGGGAGCACACCTCAGACCCAGATCCTCAGGTCCCGAGGTCCCAGAGCCATCAGAGGAGTGCTGGTGTTATTGTGTAGTGGGCATGTCCAAACTATGGCCATTAAGAGCTCGTTAATCATCATTATCATTCAAACAGAGCTGTTCAGTCCGACTGCTCAGACTGTAACTGTAACTGTAACGTAACTGACAGTGGCTCTTAATTGTTTTTTAATAACATTATAATAAGGTTCTGTATTTGCTGCTTGATCAGTGCATCTTTTGCTGATAACAGAACTCGACACTGTTATCGAGGTTATTGTTAAAGTATGGATAATCACACTGAAACAAATGTATCAGTTTTATTTGGTGTTTGTTTATATATATATACATATATATGTATCGAATGTATATACAAAGTATGTATATATACAAAACAAATGTATAAAACATACATGTTTTATACATATATATACCAGACTGTTTGGTCTGAGAGGAGCTGTGCTAAACTGTGCTGCTGATGCAAATGTGTGAATGAAGATGTTTTTGAATGAAGCTGTCCCTCTCTGCAGCGATCCTCTGATTGGCCCTCAGCGGCACGGAAAAAACACGTACTACTGCAGAGCTGGAACTGCACCACCAGAGCCACACTCCCAGGACCCAGGTTTAAATACAGTTTCACATTCGAGCAGGAGGGCATAAGGACAGTGATTTATTACATGTCTGGACAGTGGTCATCCCGCTCCGGACCAAAGGCTCCTATGTGTTTGTTATTATTGCATTCCCTGTGTTCGAACTGATTGATTCTCTTATCTGTTGTTGGTGAACAACTTTGTAACCCACAACTATGTAAAGTCCTCTGAGACGTCTGCTGTTTTGATTTAGGACGATACACACACATTGAATTGAATTGAGTAGAATCCCATTACACAAAAACATGTATTAGAGCAGTACACAAAAAACTGACTTCTTTCTCAACAGAAAAAGGAGCAGTGTTGATCTTGTGCAATTCCAGTGTTTAAAAGTGCATCGTTTTGATCTTTGCGCTCCTGAAGACCTGAGGAGGCTTTTGGGTGGCTCTTCCTGAAGACCTTCTTTCACTCTGTGGTGGCATCAGCATCACAGAGAAGGACAGGAAGAAGATGGAAATGGTCACCTTTACCTGCTATATTATTACTATGATTACATATTCTATTCATTTGATAATTCTGTTCTGCTCTATTGTTTATTATAGTCATTTTCTCTGCTGCTAATGTCTAATCATCTGTAAATACCTCATGATGCTGGGAACTACACCCCATTGCACTTCAAGCGCAATGATATCTCCAGAGTTGGATTTCATGATCTATTATATTAAATAATACATCCTGTTTGTTTACAAGCTGAGTACTCTTATTTCCATATTTTACTCTGCTGTAACGTGTGCAATGATGGAAATGAAATTTCCCCATTGTGGGACGAATTTAATTCAATTCAAATAACTTTATTAATCTGTGAGGAACTCCATTTACAGACAGAGCACCAGTGGGGGTACATAAAAACACAGAAATACAAGATCTAAATATAAATACAATAAAAGAGCAGAAATGCAATATAAATTACAAAAAACAGGTGTCCAAATCATGGCGAATTGAGGTGGGGAGGAAGCTGGATGTGGCCCTTTTTGTTTTGAATGGGAGGGACTTGAACCTACGCCCTGATGGGAGCAGGCTGTAGTGAGTGCAGAGTGTGGGAGCTGTCTGAGATCTGGGAGCCTTTTAAAAAATTTTTCCTGTAAATGGCTGTGATTCTGCTGCTGATTTTACTGGTTTTTTTGAGTGAATTCTGATGTGTGAGACTGAGTGAACCAAACCAAGATGCGATGTTGAAAGTGAGAATTGATTCAATGAAGCATTTGTAGAAAACTGAGAGAATGGATTTGTGAACCTGAAGTTTACAGAGATTACGGAAAAAGATATATATATTTTCTTTTTTTAAATACAGACTTGATATTATTTTACAGTTTTCACATAACCCACACAATAGTTATAGGGATTAAAGGGTCTAAAAACGAGGAACCCCATAGTAATATTTTAAAAAGTTTTTTTTAAATGTATCTTTTCCCACTGGGTTTTGAGTGGTTCCTTGCCGATGCAGGAAGGACAGTGTTCATCCTGCTCCCTATGGACCAATGACCCCTATGAGTTTGTTATTATTGCATTTCCTGTGTTCAAGGTGTCCTCTGACACATCAGTTCTCTTTAGGGAAATGAATTAAAACATGATGAATACCAAACACAGAAACACTTGCTAATTGTCCTATTAAAATCAGCAAAATATATTTCCGTAGGTCTGTGATGGGGTCCAGAAATATGTCCTTATGTTATTGGGGCTGCATAAACTCTCACCCTATACGCATGCTTCTCGGAATTTTTCTCAGTTTATATGTTACTCACATCAGTGTTTTACATCTAAAAAATTTCTGTCTGTAGCTTTCGGACAAACAAATCCCTACGATGGGCCACCGGCTGCAGCTCCGCCCCTACAGACTTCTGCTGCAGTTTCGGGACTCTGCTTGCTGATTGGCCGAGACGAGTGGAGCGGGGCGGGCCTCTCTCTGTCCGCTGTCAGTCAAGAAGCTCCGCTCAGATCCGTGCAGGTAACAAAAAGCCCCAGCGTCAACCCGAGTACCGACAAAACCCGCGCGTCATGGCCCCGTGCGCTCCCGTGCTCCTTTAACAGCAACACCCGTGAGAGAAGAATAGCTCTGCGTTCGCGAAGAAGAAGCCGGAACTATCCTGGAGGCTCTTTGCTTTGTACGAAGTCAGACAGCTGCTGCTCCGAGGATCCAAACAATGAAAGCCTTCAAACGAGGTAAGACTGTGACTCTGCGCCGTGCGTAAAGTTGTGCCGTAAGCTCGCTCCGGACCGTCGTGGGTCCGGGGACGCGTGTTGGTGCACGGGCAGACTCTGTGGATCTTGTTGTGTTTTTTTACTTGAAACTTGGTTTGAATTTGGAGGGACGCGTTCGGTGGCGTGCTGTGTCTCCATAGAGCTGGTGTTTGAGCGGCTAGAGGGCGCGCCGCCGTGGTAACTGTAGCAACGCGTCCAGCTCCATGTTGTGAAGTAAAACGTGTTTGACAGAGTGAAAAAAAAATCAATATTTTCTTAATTTACTACAGACCTGTTCCCCGTCAAAAGGCATTGTCCTTTAAATGGCTGTCTGTAATTCTACTAAATGTCTACTTGTGGTTTATTTGTGTAGCACAGTTCACACACATGGCAAGTCTGTGCTTAACAAGCCTTTAATGGTGATTAGACTGTGTGGTTAATCTACGACACTTGTTAGAATGAATATACCAGTAAGAACCTGAAACATTATAGAGTTATACCAATATACTGTAATTCTCTTGAGTTTCTATTCTCAATGAAACTCGTAAAAAAATTGCCCCCTTTCTTATTCTTTCTAGTGCTTGAGTCAATCTGCACTGGATCAAACCTGGAGTTGCCCCGTATCCTCGTCGGTCTATTTTATTTTTATTTTTTTACTGAATTTGGATGTAGAAAATTAACATTGTTTTAGACCACCAGAATGCGGTCAAAATATTTTCATATTCAAGGTAATATTTGCATCCATCAATAATGTGATGTTTTTCTCTATATGTCTGTACATTATAGTGGCAGTTAGTGTCTTTGGTCAATGTTTACGTCCCGGTGTGACACCATCCCAAAATGGCGGCCGCAGTCCCTCAGCGTCTCTCTAGCTTCTTTCTGTGTCGCGTCCATTTGGCCGAATCGCGGCATGCTTTGATGTTTGCTTTACACTTCTACAGACGTATCCCATCGCGGTCCCATAATAGTGTTGTGTTATGGTTTGAGTACGGCCGATATTGACGCTGCTAATAGCTTTTATGTTTTGCTTTTGGACAAAACAACAGACACGACGTCGCACTGTTGTCATCTAGACATTGTAACCAAACCACGGCTCTCCAAACGACGTCTCTTTTTATTTTATAGATTAATCACACAACACTGTTTGCATAGACTTTACATGTCCCCAACATTAAACTACAAAGTTATCATTTGGTAGATATGTCCAGAGTAGCGCTTTTCGGGGCTCTTTCTGGTCTCTCTCCATCACATGTTACTTGCATGTCGTGTTCTAAACTTTGTCACCTTAACTCTATGGGTCGTAAACAGACGCAGGCTGGTTTGTTTACAAGTCTGTTTAGCACAAATATTGAACCCAGGCGTCAAAAAGCAACGTAAAGGGACACATAATCACACAATAGCCCAACAGATCAGCCAAAAGTGCATATGTTCATCTGTGTGGTGGGGTCCAGGGCTAAAGTGGAGTTTCCCTTCTGCCGCTGAAGCCAAAGCAGTGAGAGGTGTGAGGAGCAGTTGTTGTGTTAATGAGTTTCTGCCGCTGTCCCTCCAGAGTCATTCACAGCTTTTGCATAAGCTATTAAATGTAAATGTGGCGCCCCCCGTGGCGGGAATGTGCCTTTCACACTTGTGTCTGTCACAGATTGGAGCAAATTATACTACAGCTTATCACTTCTACTGTTTCTTACTGGGGCTGCTATTGCTCATTACTGCTGCTAAATCTGTTTCTATTTCTTGCTTATTACTACACAACAACTGCTTCTACAACCGCTGTTTCTATTGTGTAGTAATGCTCTTCTATTACAATTTTTTCTGCTGCTGCTACTGCTCTCATGCATAGTGACATATGTCAAGCCTTTTTTCTCTCTCTGGTCTTTGCCTCTCCCTGGTCTCTCTCACACTCTTGCCTCTATCTGATTGTTTTCACATTGTACATAAGTGTGACTGATCCTAACCTCTGGCCTGGTCCTCTTCCTCAGCTCTGGAGTGCGATGAGCCCAGCCTCTCCTCCCCCATGTCGGACAGCGATGATGGCTTCCCCCTGGACCTGTCCGGAACCGTGAAGCGCAAACGTAGAGGGAACCTGCCCAAAGAGTCTGTGCAGATCCTCCGGGACTGGCTCTACGAACACCGCTTCAACGCCTACCCGTCCGAGCAGGAGAAGCTGAGTCTGTCTACACGGACGCATCTGTCAGTGCTGCAGGTGAGGACCGGACCAGCACTAACATGTGTACCCCGTGACAACAACACAGCCAGGCCATAGACCATGTTTTCTATGTTCCAATTAGGCAATCGGGGTCCTCTTCTGACCCTGATCAGAAGTCTCCATCCCAAAGTTCTCACTAGCATGTGTTGGCCTTTAACATTGGTGACAGCTTGGGGTCTTTTCTGGTAGTTGTGGATGGGGTTCTTTATCCTCCCTGACCCAACCATGACCTGTTAGTTCCGCAGGGCCTTTATCCCCACCACTGTCAGACTGTGCAATAAGTCACTAATGCACTAGGACTTAAACCTGCTCTATTTAATTTCTTTAATTGATTCTATCCATGTCAAATGTGACATGTACATTTCTCCTGTGTGAGATCAATAGTCTATCTTATTTTAATTCTGTTCCGGGGCTGATCTGTGCAGAATGTTGTTTTTAAATATGTTTTGCTCTTCTGTCTTAGATTTGTAACTGGTTCATTAACGCTCGCCGGCGCCTCCTGCCTGACCTGCTGCGTAAAGATGGCAAAGACCCCACCAAGTTCACCATCTCCAGGAGGGTGGGCTCAAAGTCTCCCGAGCCCTCTGTCGCCACTCCCCAGCCGACCCCAGCCCAGAGGCCCTTCGTCCTGCCTCCCACCGTCCGCCTGCTCGCCCCCGTGAACGTCCTCAGAGCTCGGGAGGCGCTGCTGCGGCTGGATACGCAGAGTCTGCTGCAGGAGGCGGAGGAGCAGAGCGGGGCCCGGCCGGTCTTCCACACCCCCCCACCCACACCCCCCGAGCTGCTGCCCACACACGACTTCAGCGACCTGCAGCTGCTGGTAGATGTGGCGCTGCAGCGGAGGGGAGGAGGAGCAGCAGCAGAGGAGGTGGGAGGAGGAGCAGCAGAGGAGGGAGGAGCAGCAGCAGAGGAGGAGGAGGGAAGAGGAGCAGCAGAGGGGGAGGGAGGAGGAGCAGTTCCATGCAGAGGAGAGCAGGAACATGGGGCCAACTCCACCTCCAGAAGACTCTCAGGTGAGTGAACAAGCATCTGGGTCCTAGTGCCCCACACCTGGGGTCATGTAAAGCAAACAAGAGTCTCTTAGCAAAATTCTTATTCTTATTATTTTAACAAGATGCAAGAAAATTCTCCGTTGGAATGAGAATATAAGGCAACAGTTCTTTAAATAAGACTAGATTGCTGGTCCCACTGCCAAATATTTTTTTTAAGACAGTCAGAATGTACTAAAATTAAGACAATTGAGGCAATGATTACCTCCATATTTTTTTAAAATTCGTTGCAGTGCTGTCGTAACCATTTGATCACCTGTCACTCAAAGATCACTCAGGCATGAAATACAAAAGTCCCCACTCTCACACTTTGTCTTTGCCCTCCTCAGATCTTGGACCCATCTCGAGCCCAGCTGCTGATGGAGGAGGCCATGTCTGCGCCTTCACCTGCCGCCTGCATCTCTCCCTCGCATAGACCTCCCACCTCCTCCCCCATATCGCCGTCACCTGCCCCCCCAACACCGGCCACCCTCCCCTCTGCCCGGCTCCCGTCCTCCGTGGTCATCGCCGCACCCACGTTTATCTTCGGCGCCTTGGAGAAAGACAAGCTCCAGCCTCCTCCCTCATCCTCCCCCAGTGTCAGCCTGGTCTCCCCTAAGCCCTCCCCCTCTCCACTCGGCCTCCCCCTTTACCTCCCCCTGCACAAGTACCCGCTCCCCACTCCGGACTCCAGGCAGAGCGCGCAGATCAAAGTGGTTTGGGCACAACGTCTGCACCAAGAAACCGTCAATTAACTTTTTATTCGAACATGAAACTTGTAAATATCACAGACGCAGGAGCACAGCGTTTATTTGGGGCTTTTATATTTTGGAGTTCTCTCAGAAGACTCCAGAGATCATGTTGAATGTAAGAACGACTGAATGTCCGTATTTTTGTTTTAATATTTCGATATTTTTCATATTTTCTTCAACGTTCTTCCCATTTTGGTTTGGAAACACCACATTCGGTTTGAACGTATTGGATATTTTACCAAGAAAACCACACTTCACTCTCACTGGGATTTTGAGGGAAATCGTGGACATTTGACATTTCTGAAATGTTCCATTTTCTTATTGAGAGCAGAATGGATTTGTTTGACTCAATTCAAACTACTTTACCAAAAAAGACGTTGTTGCGGCTCTATTTTAATCATTAATTTGAGACCAAGAACCTTTTGTTAATGTGAATGCACAAACTGCCAGCCCTTTTTATAACCAGTGGTTTTGAATGTATTAACGTTTCCCAGTCTTTTGGTACAACTTTATTAAACTGGAAGTATTTTTAGAATTTGTTCCTATAAAATATTTTTTTTAGATGAATTTATTCCCAAGTGTCTGACATGAGCGGCAGTGTTGCAGCTGAAACAGATGTAAGCCAAAATGTGATAAAAATGTATTTATCATCAAATGTATAGTGTTCCATATTCTCTGTTTCAATATTGAGTCTCAACGCAATATTTGTCCTGTCGAGAATGGAGAAAAGAAGTGTTGCCAAAAACATATTTAAAAAAACAAAGCATCCCCCCGCCCCTTCTGTCTAAACGGATCTGTTTTCAAACACTACACAATCGTCCTTCTGAAAAGCGTTGCCTCCAAATGAGTTCTGTGACTGTCTCCGGTCACATGTTCCTGACCGCTGCCATGTCCTCAGCACTGTCATTTCTGTCATTACTCACTCAATATTTTTGCTTTATATTTTTGAATTGTACATTTTAGCGACGCTGGGACAAAGCTGATCTTCCTTTCGATTCTAATCACTTTTTTACACCAATGACCTCAAAGTTTTGTTGTCGGCTTCCTGTTTACACCAGTGTTGTATTTCAATTTTAAATACATATTATTTTATATTTTAAAAAAACAACATACATTTTTCAATACTTTGGCTTTTGCAGTAATCGAATGTTATGCTTCATATTCGTGTTTTGGTGAAGTTTTGTACTGTTCATCCACTTCACTGAGAGGCGTTTCTTTGTAGAAGTATTGAAGTTTAGAGGAGCTCATGGAAAGCAACGCGAGCTAGCCTCTGTTTACATTGTAGTTTCCATCATTTCTTTGTTTTATAGTTTCTGTGAAACTGTTTCTAACGTAGACCAAGTTCTGACAACACCAGTTTTTACTTTTAACCTCGTCTTAAACATTTCTGCAAAGTTCACATTATTTATGTCCAACGTTTTACTGCTGCAAACCCTCGAAGCTTCTGTGAGAATCTTCTGTTAAACTCTGCCCCTTTTCACTTTACAACTGACTTTTATATTTTGCTTTTGAAAATGTTTAAATACCTCATGTTTCATTTGTGTATCACGTACAAAGCCTCAGACATTTTTTTAAGTCTTGTTTTTTTAGGATTGTACATGTTTTTTACTACATTTTCTACAGTGTTCTATTTTTGTGCTGCTCATATCGACTGTTACTGTTGTGCCTTAAACTGGATGTTTTTGTGACAAACTACATAGAAACTGTGCAATATTAAACTCCATCTTTCCAACCATTTCAGAAAATAAAAAACTTTTCCATCAATCCCTTTTTGTCTTATTTTATTTGAACTTGGGTCTCTCTGGGTCTGGATCGGAGCATCAGGAGAAAACGCCACCAGACATGGGGAGAACGTGCAAACGCCACACACGGGGCAGCCCCTGGGTCTATGGTATTTGCTTTATTCAATTTATTCAATCAATATTTATTTTTATTCAATCTATTTTGTATTGTTTAAATCACAACCGGAGTCATCTCGGAGAACTTTACAAAATCGTGGATTTGCCAACAACAGATCAGAGAATCAAACTGTTCGAACACAGGAAATCCAATAATAACATTGTACATAAAAGCCATTTGTCCATAAGGAGTGGGAGGATAACTGTCCAGAAATGTAAATAACCCTCTTGGAAAAAAAAAAACTTCCATGGACGGACACTAGGACTGGCCATAGAACCAGGACTGAGGCTGTATGATTTGGTCCAATGACAATTTAATTCATTCAAACTTTTCATTTGGGAAAAGTAAAAATCTCAAACACCGAAACATCTGAACTTACGCCTTAAGTTTCGAGATAAAGACAATTCATTTAGAGGTTTTAACTAGAAAACAAAACATACACAGCTGGACTGAAGTATTTATTTATTGTCTATATTATAATAGACGTGGACGTGGTCTGTAAGTAAAAGACACTGATTGGGAGCGACACAGCTGTGTGGATTTTTCACTGTATTCATGTTTTGTACTTTAGCCAGCAGCACGCTAGTCCAGACGACAGGGATGTGCGGCCTTATATGAAACCTTCCTATGTTATAATAGATCCATGATTGTCCCGCTAAATGTGTCTTTCGCTTTCGACCCTTGCTTGAAGCAGCTGCCTCTGTCAGATGCTGTGGTCTGGTACAGAGGAAACCGAAGCATCTGGAGGAAACCTACTCATACACGGGGAGACCCTGTTCTAATCGGGATTTGATGTTGAGAGATCTGAACTTTGACTTGAACAGACCTGATACAGAGTCAACCCTCACCTTTGTGAATGTGTGTTTGCCTGAATGTGTTCCGTACTTTTTGTGTTTCTATAATTTTGTTCTTTTTTTTTTTATCTCAATCTCAAGGGTTCGTTCCTCGTTTTAAAGTTGCTCCATTACTGCTGCAAAGAAATCAAATTCAAAGTAGTTTGACAAAAAGATCTGATTTCATATGAAGTCTGAAACCGTTGCATAGGCTGCTGTGTCTGTTTTAAACCACTACATGGCGCTATAGCACTGTGTCATCAACACAAGTGCGACTTGAACGTGTCCTTGTTTACACTGTTAGGGGCAGCAGGGGGCGCAGGTGAGCTGCTGTCTCAGTCTGCAGGCCCCTGTGTCTCTGGGACAGTAGTCCATGGTGAGAGAGGTCTTACTGTGGTTCTAATGTTGGATTGTTTGAACAAAGAAGTGCTCATTGAATCACATTCAGACAGATTTGTGAGTTTTACAGCTTTAAGTTGGACCCAAAACAAGAGCGCAGAGTACATTTTTGTTCAGGATATTTATTATTGGACCCCAGGCCCCTGACCCTGCTGCTCCTGTACACAGGAATGCCTCAGCCTCACTGACTGACGGTGATTATTTTCAAACCTGTCTTGATGATCAATAACACGATACTCTTTCTTTGACTTCATAAACACTGACAGTTGTGGAAGGTCTCCGACAGGGAGCTGCATTTCACCATGAATCTGGCAACCCAACAAGAGTGGGAGAATATAAACATGTGCCCAGGACTTTATCATTGTTTTACTTCGTAGCTGATTGATAAAATCCAGTCCAGAACATGTCACTTGCTGTTGTTCTGTGCTTCAGGATAATCTCACCTCGACTACATATAAAATATGTATCTTTTAAAAAACACATACAATTCTGCTCAAAACATTTATTCAAACTGTTTTCAGGACTTTTCTTTTGCAGAATCGGTACAAAAGTGATTGTCCCCAACAACAGTGCTCATCCTCCCAACTATTCCTCTTACACAAAGGCTGAAAAACACATTTATGATTAATGTGGATAAATATTAAAGGGATTTATATTTTTAAAAACTTAATTCTCCTTCATTTTAAACATGTTGCGTTCAACAATATTTTATATTGTTTTATTCATTTATTATTTTATCTTTGCCACAATAAAACAGATTACATTGTTTGTCGGATCAGGCATTTCATGTTTTTTCTCTTTTTACCATGTTTACATTGTTATTAATATTATTATTTATTTTAGGTTCATGTTAATCTCACTAACCATGAACTGTGTCTAAAGACCCCCGTCTCTCTCTGGTTTATTGCTCCGTAACAGTCTCTCTGGTCTCTCTCTCTCTCTGGTCTCTCTTTTTGTGATTACAGTGGTCCCTGTTCTTTTGTGAGATGTTATAGAAATAATCAACATTATGTGAAACCCATGAAGTAGCAGGTATCAAGGCTGTAAAACCTCTCACGACACTTCAAATACTTTTCCAACCACCTGAACTCACGGCTGTTGAAGTGGAGATATCAAACCTATTCAAACCTTGTGGGTCTGAGCACTGCTGCAGCTGTCAAAAGCCGACAAACAGTGTCAAAAACACCTCCAGAGACCAGAGAGAGACCAGAGAGAGACCAGAGAGAGACCAGAGAAAGACCAGAGAGAGACCAGAGAGAGACCAGAGAGAGACCAGAGAGAGACCAGAGAGAGACCAGAGAGAGACCAGAGAGAGACCAGAGAGAGACCAGAGAGAGACCAGAGAGAGACCAGAGAGAGACCAGAGAGAGACCAGCGCTCACCCCATTATAGTCAGGGACCACTGTACTGTATTGCATTACCTAAAAACAACTGCAGGTCTGCTTTTGAGGAACACTGGTTAGAAGTTGAAATGGTGTGATTTTGCAGGACGTGGAATGCCCTCATGCGCTCTCATCTCATTCGTCGTCCTTGTCTTTGGCCCCGTGCTTCAGGATTCTGGTGAACTCGGCGTAGTTGAAGTTTCCTTTCTTGTCGATCGGAGCCTCGCGGAACAGCTCGTCCACCTCCTCGTCCGTGAAGCGGTCGCCCATGGTGGTGAGCAGCTCCCTCAGGTGTTCCTCGTGGATCACTCCTGCCAGACACGGGTTTAAACAACACGCACATTAGTCACACAGTGCAGTCAGTGCAGTCAGGAGATCACACATCATAGAGTTTTGTCCACGTAGTTGTTACAGGACATGTTTTTTCTGCATATTAACTAACCTAACGACAGCATGAGGCCCCAGATCAAACCCTGTGGCGCTCCACAGGTCAGGGCCTCATAATCTGAGACACAGTTTCCAATCTCAACCAAGTACTTCCTCGATGACTCTTAGACCAGCGACACCCACCTAGTCCTCTAGTCTCTGTACGAGGACCACCTAGTCCTCTAGTCTCTGTACGAGGACCACCTAGTCCTCTAGTCTCTGTACGAGGACCACCTAGTCCTCTAGTCTCTGTACGAGGACCACCTAGTCCTCTAGTCTCTGTACGAGGACCACCTAGTCCTCTAGTCTCTGTGTGAGGACCACCTAGTCCTCTAGTCTCTGTGTGAGGACCACCTAGTCCTCTAGTCTCTGTGTGAGGACCACCTAGTCCTCTCGTCTCTGTACGAGGACCACCTAGTCCTCTAGTCTCTGTGTGAGGACCACCTAGTCCTCTAGTCTCTGTACGAGGACCACCTAGTCCTCTCGTCTCTGTGTGAGGACCACCTAGTCCTCTAGTCTCTGTACGAGGACCACCTAGTCCTCTAGTCTTTGTGTGAGGACCACCTAGTCCTCTAGTCTTTGTGTGATGATATATTGCTCTAAAGTACGGTGGTGTTTGCCCAACGGGCCTGGACCCCCAGAATCTACAAGGTCCTCAGGACCCTCAGGACCCCCTGGAGTTCCTCACGGAGGAGGAACCTACCGGAGCCCTCCTCGTCGAAGCAGGCAAAGGCGTTGCGGATCACGTCCTCGGGGTCCGTGCCATTCAGCCGCTCCCCAAACATGGTCAGGAACATGGTGAAGTTTATGGGCCCCGGGGCCTCAGCCATCATGCCCTCCAGGTACTCGTCTGACGGGTTCTTCCCTAAGACGGACAAACACGGAGAACGTCAACATTCTGGACTCAAGTATTGAAGTTTTCACAGAATATCAACAAAGGCAGCGGCAGCAGTGAGAGTGGGAGTTCAGTTGTAGAAGTCTTTCCTTCACTGTGGTTTGTTCCAAGGTTTCTCTCCCCACAGGATGGAGTCGTTCCTGCTGGTAATAGCTACTGAATGATGAAGACAGATGCAGTGGTCTGATTCGTTCACATTTACCGTAAATTCCGAACTGTAAGCCGCCGCTTCCTGCATTTTGAAGGCTGCGGCATATAGTCAGGTACGGTTTGATTTTCTTTTTTCTTTGTGGTACCAAAAACAAATTGCCAAGTAACAGTAGACCAACATAATTGATGAGCAGTTCACAGAGATCCAATTCATTAGATTAAATAAATGTATCTATGTGTATTTCATATAATAAATAGATTTTTGGTTCTCTGTACAGACATGAACAGAGACCAGTAGAAGTTGCTCCTTATCTTTCTGCTTCACACAAGCAGAAAGCTACGTTTTGAGCTACATTTTTGAGCTACGTTTTACAATATTACAATGTGGGACAGGTGCGGCTTGTACAAGTACAACATTTAATTTAATTCTAAAAATTAGAGCCTGCGGCTTAAAGGTGCAGCTTATTGTAGGAAATTGCGGTACTTTAACAAGGCCCTTTCTTTTTTTTTTTTTTTTTTTAATTTTTAAAAAAAAATTTATTCTACTTAAACAATACAAAATTCAAAAACAGACAGGTAAGTGACAAGCATACACGGTACAAGACATACAAGAATACATACAATACAGACAGGGACAGTGAACAAAGTTTTGTGTAGATGTGTGTGCATGTGCGTGGTGTGTGAATGTGTGTGTGTGTGCGCATGTGCATTGCTTACAAATATAAAAAGAGAAAAAATTATAGAATAAATAGTAATAATATGTATAATACTAATACCACTACCACCATCAATATTAACAATAATATTAATAATTATAATGAAAACCATAACACTAGCAACAGGAGGGTGGCCGCCACTGCCTTCCCCACCGACGATGTCTGATTCCTGATGGGTGTAGTGCATGGATCTTCTGCTCCCTGATCCCCCATCCCCTCCATATAGGTTCTTGTTCCTGCTTTGTGTTATCCTTATGTACAGGTGTCTAATGTGCATTAAAAGAGGACATATTTTGAGGGTGCCAACCTAGGATGGCGGCGCCTCCTAAGGGCACTTCTCAACTGTCCTGATTCCTACAAGTCTATTCAAGTGTTTGTTTATTTTTTTTATTTTTTTATTGTTATTTTATTTTTATTTTTTTATTTTTTTTATTATGTGGGGGGGTGAGGTGCATTAAAAACAACATGGGTGGGGGTGAACCAGGGAGAGTATGTATGGATTCAATAGTAGTGGCAGTAGTGGTAGCAGTAGCAGTCAGTAGCAGTAGCTGTCACAGTATGAAGTAGTGGCAGCATTATCAGATAACAGTAATAATCATATATAGAAGTTACGGCAGTGGAATATTATACGAGCTATTTAGTGTTTTAGTGGAAGGAGGTAGAGTGAAGAAAGATGTTATAAGTAAATGAGTGAATGAGTGAGCGAGTGAAATAATTTTGTTGCTGTTAGTTGGTGATTTAAAGAAGGGAAAGGTCCGGCAGTGTTGGGAGTGAGGGGTTGGACTCTGAAGGATAATTGCCGGGGGGTGATGATGAACATTCCAATGAGATGAAGTCTGTGAAAAGGTTTTTCCAGTGGTTTATATTTATGTTAATGCGGGATTTCCAGTTTACAAAGATGGTTTTCTTGGCGATGGTTAGAGCTATCAAAAGTGTTTTAAAATGTATGGCTTTATCAGTGATCATTGATAGATCCCCTAGCAGGCAGAGGGGGGGGGGATAATGGGATGCGGCAGCCCAGCAGGGATGACAGTGACCGTGTGACCTCTTCCCAAAAGTGTTTGATGGGGGTGCAGTTCCAGGTAGCATGAATGTATGTATCGGGACAGTTCTGAGTGCAGTGTGGACATATGTCTGATGTGAAACCCATTTTAGCAAAGGCCCTTTCTTAGTTTATCCCATGTTCCAAACTAAAATAATTGATAGAGCATATGATGTCTCCTTTAAAGCTGCTCATTGTGGCGTTTAGATCTTGACAACATGATTCCAAACTATTTTTCTGGGATTGTTTAAATTCACTGATCTCCTGTCCGCACCCTCCACTTCCTGATGCTTCAGATACGCGTTTCCTTCTGAATTAAAGCCGGGATGCCGGCTACATGTCTCATAAATAACACATGTAGTTTGTCCAACAGAAAGAGCCACAACATACCGTCTTCATCTGAGAGCCCTGTGAGTCACTATTTGACTTTTTGGGCTGAGAGCTGATTGGCTGAGTGAGGCTAGTCCTGTCTTTTTCAGTTTTCTGTCTGAAAAAGCTGATCTAAAGATGTGACTGTTTGCAAACATGAAACTATTGATAGAAGCAAACTGTTTTAGAGCCAGGAACTAGAGACATTGTTGTCAATTGTTTTTGCGCAAAAGAAGGACCAGAGAGAAAAACAAGACAAGAGAGTAAAGACCAGAGAGACCATAGAGAGACCAGAGAGAGACCAGAGAGAGACCCTAGAAACACCAGAGAGAGACCATAGAGAGACTAGAGACCAAATAGAGACCATAAGGAGACAAGAGACCAGATAGAGAGACCAGAGAGCTAGTGACATGGATTCATGACACTTTTCTATACGTTTGTGGTTAGTCAGGTCACCCGGCTTTAACACTGACCCAGAGAGGCCAACATGTCGTGCAGGTCCTCCTTGTCGATGAAGCCGTCTCTGTTCTGGTCGATCATGTTGAAGGCCTCTTTGAACTCCTGGATCTGGGACTGGTCGAACATGGCGAACACATTGGAGGTGGCCCGCTGCGGACGCTTCTTTGTGGTCTTCCCCTTGGCGCGTTTGCTCGACATGGCGGCGGTTTGGGAGGCAGCTGCAACCACACAGAGAACACTCAACCACTTGGGCAAATAACAATGAGGTGAGAAACTCCTCTTCTGACCCTGATCATAAATCTCCATCCCCCAGGTCTAAATACAACTATGACAGCTTGGAGTCTTTTGTGGTAGTAAGATGTCTCTCTCAAGACTCTCTGGTCCCTCTCTTGGTTATCTCTGGCCTCACAGTCTCTCTCTGGTCACTCATTGGTCTCTCTCGCTCTCTCTCTGTGCTCTCACCGACTCTCTGTCTCTCTCTCTGGTCTCACAGTCTCTTTCTCTCTGGTCTCACAGACTCTTTCTCTCTGGTCTCACAGACTCTTTCTCTCTGGTCTCACAGACTCTTTCTCTCTGGTCTCACAGACTCTTTCTCTCTGGTCTCACAGACTCTCTCTCGCTCTCTGGCCTCTCTGGTTGCTCTCTGGTCTCACAGACTCTTTCTCTCTCTCTGGCCTCTCTCTGGTGTCACAGTCCCTCTAAATACGATGAGTAAACTGTGTGCAGCTGTTTCCTTCTCAGTCAGATTAAAGGAGTGCAGCATCTCCAAACATGGCGTCCTGCTTTTCTTTCAGGGACAGAATTATAAACGATGCAAAAGCCTGGTCTTTATCTGGGCTCATAAAGACTCCCTCCACAGCCTTACATGGGCCGAGCGACTGGGGGACACCAGCGTTTACATCAGCTCTTGTGTGAAAAACAACAGTCCTGTCCAAACTCACGGCCGCGGGCCAACTGCGGCCCTCTGTGTCATTTTATACGACGCTCCCACGCTAGCAGAAAGCAGTTCACAGCCAACGTAAGCTCAGCCAATATAGACATTGTGTTTTTCAAGGTAAAGCCCAGAACCTCAAGAATCCGAGGTAATATCAGGAACTTCTGGAACAAACGTGTAGCTCCGCCCCTTCTGTCTAAAAGCTCCTGTCTCAGTCCTGTAACAGTTTGATGTCATTGCACCACTGTGACATCAGAGTAAAATCAGTTTTCAGCCTTTAAAACAAAAGTATTTTCCATGAATTTGTTTTGGAATTGGAATTAAAGTATCCCTTTCACTAAAAGGTTTGGACACCCCCGTCATATCAGTATATGGTCTTTCAGAATGTGGGTTTGTGCTGAGGCCAACTCCAGGTGAGAGTTTTCAGTCTCATATCTCATCTGCAGGTGTGTTTCTGGCAGCAGAGACCAGATAAAGACCAGAGAGAGACCAGAGAGAGACCAGAGAGAGACCAGAAAGAGAGACCTGAGAGAGAGCAGGCAGACCAAAGAGAGACCAGAAAGAGACTGTTGTACAGATTTAACTATAAAATCACAATTAATGTTACTCCATAAACACGTTGTAAAGGCGTCTCCACATCTGTGCACAATGTAAACAATATGAAAGTATCTGAGAGTAACAGTACTCTTACAACAGTCTGACAGTAACAGTACTCTTACAACAGTCTGACAGTAACAGTACTCTTACAACAGTCTGACAGTAACAGTACTCTTACAACAGTCTGACAGTAACAGTACTCTTACAACAGTCTGACAGTAACAGTACTCTTACAACAGTCTGACAGTAACAGTACTCTTATAACAGTCTGACAGTAACAGTACAGTTTGACTACGCTAACATTCCTCCCGCATTTCTTACTCACTGATCTAAAACTAAAGCTACAGTACTTTTTTCAATGTTTCCAAAAGACGCAGACACTCACCTGGTTCTCACGCTCACCTGGTTCTGACGCGGTGTCTGCGGAGACGCGAAAACAATGTGGACACAGGTTTGTTTGGGGGATAGCGCCATAGCCCCGCCCCTTTGTTCCCCTCTCAGCAAATCACAGCGCTCCTGTGTCCGGAGCAAACACTGACCGCGTGTCTCCATACAAGGCGAAAGAATGCGCCCTGTCCCGGGGAGGAGGGGGGCGGGGGGATGAGGGAAGAGAAGGAGAGGAGGAGGAAAAGGATGAGGAAAAGGATGAGGGGAAGACGCTAGGTTATTATACAAACCCGCAGCTACCGAGAGATCAGACTGTGAAGAAAGGCTTAGTAATAAATGTATAGGCTACAGTGCATCTCTGCCCTGTCCACCACCGGTTGGGAGCACAGTGGACTGCAACAGGACTCGTACTGTCTAACTTTGTTTTCAGAGCTTCGCTCCTTTTTCTTACCGCTTCCAATGTTCAGATTGTAATGAGAGAGTGAAGATAGTGATGGTCTGAGGCTGCGATGGGACATGTTAGTACTCGAAAGTATTGTAAATTACTTAGATTACTTACTTACAATATCATTAGAGTCTGAGAGCAGAAAACAATGAACTATCCATTATTCCTCGTGCTCTATAAATGTTTTATTCTTATGGTGCTCTTGTTAGTATTAGATAGCAATATGGCCTACGTGCAGGACTGTACAAGGACTCTGATTATTTTGACTATGATGTGCACTGTCTCTGTGTGGCACGTACGTCTTTCCATGTGTGACGTGACAATGACTATATAAACTGTGTACTGCCTTTATTCTGTCTGAGAGAAGGAAACAATGGAAACCACTGGAACTTGAGAGAAATTCGTGAAGTGGGCACCCCACTTTTTAAAAACATGTATAAAATGGTGTCATTTCTTAGTGCTGATTTTTTTCTGATTTGTGCTGCAGAAATTAGAATTTGTGCCGGTATCATATTTGAAATATTCTCTCCACTATTAGTTGCTCCAAATCTACCCAGACAGGGTCTCATTTAGCCTGGCCTTACTATCATTTTGCGCACAGCATATTGGAAAGTAACCCTGGGGATAAACGAACAGTGATGCGCACAAGATCGTGAAAAAAGCCAAGGTGTTTGATACCTTGTTCACACAGCTTCCGAAGCTATTAGTAAATCCATTTCCAGAACCGGCCACCCCAAAAAAGTTACTAGATCACAATACATTATTGACAGCAGGATCATCAACACTATAAACATATATATGTATATACATTATCTATATACAAATCAGCAAAGATCAGCACAAAAAAAGAAAAAGGCCAGCGAGAAAGAGCGGAGGCCGGACCAAGAGACCAGAGAAGGAAACCGGAGACACAAGAGACCCAGATAAAATAAGAAAACCTTTATTCATCCCACATACAGGACAGTAGTAAGAGCACACAGGGAGGTGTACAAGACATACAATATAAGATAAATAGTCTATCTATATATAGAGAGAGCGAGAGAGCAGGAGGAAGCAAAACCTCTCACTGAAGCTTCTCTGTCTGTCAATGAATCTACTCTCCAGAGCAAACAGAGTGTTAGTTGGTCCAGGACCCTCCTGTCTCCACCTGCTACACTGTGTCCAGGTGAGAGAGCAGAGCGAGAGACCAAAGAGATGGAGGCCAGTCCCTGTGCTCCTTCATGTCTGGGTTTGAGCAGCGCCAACCTTCTATACCTGCTAATACCAACTGCAGTTTACTAATTAGCTTTAATGTAGGTGCATCATGCCGGGGGTAACATAATCGGCTAAAGGCAGTGTGTTAAATAATTGATGGGTTTGAATGTGTCGTTAAGACACGGTCCCAAAACTACAAGCCTTCCCACAAGTCTCACTGACAACACGGTTTCTCTCTTTCAGAGTGAATTACTTTGTGATGATTAAGATGTCCTTTGGTGTAAGAACGGTGTCCGCACGACGTCACACTCGTAAGGCTTTTCTCCAGTGTGGCTCCGAAGGTGAACTATGCGCTTGTATGGTGTTGAAAAGGATTTGTTGCAGTGGTCACACTTGTACGGCTTCTCTCCGGTGTGGTTCTGATGGTGAATTGTGCGCTCGTATGCAGTTATGAATGTTTTATGCAGAGGTTCACACTTGTAAGGTTTTTCTCCAGTGTGGATTCTCTGGTGTCGCCTGTAGTGTGCAAGCATAATGAACTTCTTCCCACACTCTCCACAGACAAACGGCTTTTCTCCTGTGTGGACTCTCGTAGTGTGCGGTGAGGGTATGTAAATGTGTATAACATCTTCCCACACTGGTCACATTTGTGTAGATTCCCTGTGTGGACACGCTGGTGTTGTGTGAGTTGCCCTTTGGTCCTGAATGTATTACCACACTCGGTTACATTCAAAATGGTTTCTTCCCCAGAGTGGAGCTCTCTGATGATATGTCTCAGAGTACCACGTTCTCTAAAGCTCTGGCCACAAACGTCACAGCTGAAGGGCTTTTCTCCAGAGTGGATTCTGCTGTGAATTTTGAGACTATTTTTTTCTGCTTTAGTAGAAACTCTTTCCACACTGGTCACACTCATATGGTTTTTCCAAGAGTGAGTTCTAGAAAGAACTTTGAGTTGTTCAGCTCTAAAGTAACCTCTTTCCACACAGATCACACTTGTATGGTCTTTCTCCGTGTGAGTTCTGCAGTGGATTTTCAGTTGTCCTTTTCTTGTAATAAAACTATTTCCACACACATCACACTCATACGGTCTTTCCCCAGAGTGAGTTTTGATATGTAGATCCAGCAACTCCTTTTGTTTTAACCCCTTTTCCGCACTGTTCACACACTTGTGTGGTCTTTCTTCAGAGTGCGTTCTGGAGTGTCTCTTGAGGATGTACGCAGAGACCCAGGTCTTTCCACCTGCTCACAGGTGAACCCATTCTCTAGATGAACTTAGAATGGGGTGTAGATCTGCCACAAAAAAAAAAAAGGAGATGTCAGATAATACTGGCTCCAGAAATAGGTTCACTTAGATCAAATGTATTTTGTATAGCCTTAAATCAAACAGTAGTTATTTCAGGGGACTTTTAAAAAACCGTTGAATTTACGACACGCAATCAGAGAATCAAACAGTTCCAAAACAAAATAATAGAATAAAAATGTCCTTAAAATCACTTAAATAGTCCGGTCCAGACAAGTTGCATTTCATGGTCATGGTCATCACTGTGCCTCGCCTGGTTCAGACCCATGTGCGCGACACCACTTTAAAAAGTATCTTTAAAAGAGCCTGTCTCCTCTGAGCCAACCTGAGGCAGGACTGTGCCCCTCTTGGTCTCTGGATCACCGCACATATCACAAGCTCTTTTTATTTATTTTCCTAAACTCAAACCTACATATTTTTATTACTTTTTATTAATTTAGTTTATAAAAAATAAGTTTCAGCATATTCCAATAAGACAAAACATTTCTCATTGGACACAACTGAAAAATATGTTACGTCCAAATGAGAAACCCAACTTCACAAATAGAGTAAATATGTTTAATATGAGGATAGCAAAACATAAAAACCTTAATAAAAATCCACGCCCATGGATTATTTTGCATAACTTAACCAGTCCTTAAGTTTTACACCATAATTAGAGTATTTTTATGGTTTATACACCATAATTAGGTATTTTTATTGTAATAATCTGTGACGGGTAGTTCTACCCGACTCTCGCCAGACCCTTGTAGTTCCGCCATGCTCCACTAGAGGCAATAGGCGGAACACAAGGGTCTGGGAAAAACTCCTTCAGGAGAAAAAATAAAAATCAGCCAATCAGAATCGCTGGTGTAACGCCGGGTTTGCATCACCTTCTCGTGCGTGTCTCACGCATAGACTGTGGCCCAATCCCAATACCCACACTGCACCCGGCCCTACACTCTTCTACGAAGTGTGCACATGTTTGAAGTGCACACAAGGGTTTGAGTGCGCAGGTTACAGGTGTGCAAAAAAGGCGAAATTGGGACAGTGCACACTGAGTACAGGTTACGTCATCGACTCGTCAAGAGATGGTCATTTTCTGACCTAAGCTTTATAAAACTTAAAGGTAATTTTGTCTGACCCTGTGGGAAACAAAATGAGTTGCTCCACACACGTTAAAATAAATGTATATTGGTTATTTGTAATTTGAGATAGCTGTATTTTAAGTTAAATGTGTGTGACTAACTTATCTGGTATGTTTTTATACATCCTAAGTTCATTGTACGAAGTGTAAATTTTAAATTGAATGTTATATGAATGCTTGCTTTAAAAAGTTATTAAATTGTTAAAATACAATGTCCGTAATTCTACAGTCTATGGTAATTCTTCATCACAAATATATGCTTCTTTCCAAGTAACATAGCAATACATATTTAAAAACATACAGCATATATATTTCAAAACATACACTTAAATGCATTTTCCCGACGTTTTGTGTGTACCGCAAAGAATTATGGGCATTATCCTTCGCCAAAGTCCGCATAGATGCAGGCTAGTGTCACTTGTCACTCCCGTATTCGTCCCGGAAACCGGATTCGTCCGGAAGTTCAGTTTGCGCATGTCAAAAAGTTTAATATGTCCTTAAGTGGTGACTGGTTAAGTTTAGGCGTCTGATTAAGATGGTTAAGTTTAGGGTTAAGGCTGGGTTGGGGTTATTTTATAGGAATGGCTGGTTAAGTTTAGGCATGAATAGGTAGTTTTTTTTATTTACTTCCGCTTCCGTCCAGATTCCGTGACGTAATCTACTGCTGCGTATGCTCATTGGATCAAACTGAACTTCCGGACTATCCGGTTTCCGGGACGAATACGGGAGTGACACTACAGCGAAGTGTGGGATCAGGGGCGCAAAGAGGGCGGGGCCAAAGATCTCCCTGGAGAGTTGGGACACCCTACGCACTCGCACCATCATCGGGAACGCGCAAATGAGGGGCACGAGGGTGGAAGTGCGAGTATTGGTACTGGGCCATATTAATGGACATAGTCACACCTATCTCCCCGTTCTAACCAATGTGCTAGGGGTGGGCGTTATGGCCTAAAATTCATATTGCGGTATTGACCAGATGCATCAACGTCATTCAGTCACGTGATTGTGAATGAGCTTACGGC